ATGTTTGGCGGGATGCGGATTCGAACCCGCGACCCTCAGATTGTGAGTCGAGCGCCTTATCCATCTGGCCATGCCGGGCACATCATATTTAGAGGTATTTAAATATTTCAGTGAACAATTATATCAGAAGCCTTACAAACCTGTTGTTTCAAATATTCTGAGGAAAGTCCTACATCTGCTCTTTGAGCACTTCCTAATTTCTGTGGATCCACTGTCACAGTCTGTTTAAAACTTTTTCCATTATTATACAACGTGAAATACAGCAACTAAGTTATGAAACCTGCTTAATGCTGCACAAGTTCTAAAAGCAATCAAAGCACTGGTGCCCAACTTAAGCTTAAGAAAAATGCAATAACAAATTAAAAGACAATCTATCCTATGATTTTTTCAAGAAATGTTTTTAAAATACAAATTAAAAAATATATAAATATTATGAAATATTGTTGCACTTAGATATTAATGTATACAATTACATATGTAGGAAAATAATAAGTATGCTACAAGCATTTTGTTTGTAATCAGTTTAAGAAGTATTGACTAAAGTGCCATCTATTGTATAAAATATGTGGAAATTCATATGTCAGATGTATTAACAAAATCTTAAAAATGAGACACACAGATAAAAAAAAACACATTTTAGATCTCAAGTGAAGTCTTATATCTTGTACCAAGCTAAAGTATCAGAGACCATTATAAGACATGAGATCGTTTTCAAAGGTCAAAATATATCCTTTTTTCTTGTAAATGGGGACAATCTTTATTCAAATGTATTAGGTAATTGTTGTACAACATATTATAAAAACTAGGTTGATGACTTCGTTTTTTGTTAAGCTACACAATGGACTAATTGCACTTTGCCCACTATAACATATATATATATATATATATAGTGTTTACACCACACCACATTTCAGTTGAGGTCATTGTGTAAAATGTGTCAGCTTTATGGAAAAGAAAAATTTATAGAAGAGGAAGGACCAACCACTTCAAATAACTTTAAAGAAAGTGTGCATAATGTGATTAAAAAATGACATAAAAAGTATATATTTAATAACATTCACCTAATATACCAACTAAGATGATAGCATTGATGAGAAGAAATATATGTTTTATGTCTTTTAGGTTTTAAGCCTTACATCATTGTTAAATGTCATCAATTAAAAAAGTTTAAAGCTACTTCCACCACACCCATTGTTTTTTTATAAGGGAAAATATACCTTCTCTTCTCCAAAAGGGTAAGCTGTAAATAGATAAATAAAAAGTAAACATGTAAAATATTAAAGCTGACTTTTATACATATACATATGGAATATGTGAACTGTAGATTAAATTAACATAAAAAAATTTACACATTTACAAAGTCAATTGAAAATATTAAAACATAACAGAGCGGCAAATGACTGAAAGTATACAGCTTATAGATTACATGTATAATTTTTTTTATTGTAAATTAAAATCTGCAACACATAAATCATGAATATTAAATCTCTCACTGTTTTTCAGAATATCAACTGTTGCCAAAATGGCTATTTTTAAATTGACTGAAACAAAACAATCATAATAATTATAACAGAAACTTCTTAGATTGAAGCCAAAAAAATACCAAGTAACATCTAACTTCAATCAAGACACTTTCATTTTGTAGTTCAGTTTTGGCTATCATAAAAGTTACAACTGTGCAAACTTTTTGTGATTTTTGAAAAGTTAACTCATCAATATCAGACCTCAAGTAATAGTTTGTAATTTCAAAATATCAAGAGAGATCCTGATGCAAGAAATGTATAATCAGTATTAAAATAATATATACATTGCAACTAGACTACTTTAATTTAGCATACCATTTAAGTACTCATTGTGACATTTATTGTCAAGTATTCTTTTATAATACTTTACCATAATAAGTAATGTGTTTTAAATACATGAATCGTTTTACAACTTTCTGTAATTATGGGAGATATAATTTTCTAAAATAAGCATGGTTACTTTAAAAGATACGTATTAAAGTTACAATTTTGATTTCAATAATCATAAGACGACAATAATCATCTGATTTTTGGATTTTAACAACTGAGGAAATATTTTTTCAATATATATATATTAAATTCTAGAGTTATATACTAATATCAAAATATTGTAAAGAGTAAATTGCACAAACAAAATGTTAATGACAAAAAATTGCTATAAACTACACAATTATTGTTGACTGAATCCCAAGGCTCCAATAAAGCACTTTGTATTGGTTGATTTATCCAATAAGAGATAGATATATTTCTAGCATGTAACAATAATTACAATAGGATTTTTAATTTATCTTTTACATGTATGCTTGTATAAAAATAATAAAGTTGATAATTTATTATGAAAATAATTCAACTGTTTCTTAAATAAATTATAGGTACCTCACACATTAAACCATAAAGAAAAAGAGCTGAAAATGGCTAAAAGTAAGGTTTAAAAAGAGAGAGAACATAAAACCTCACTATGTATCACCACATCATCAGATAGCAAACTAAGTACCCCAAGGTGGTGTGATCAAGCAATAAGACTAAACAGATACAAATAAAATATTGTCATTTTATTTATTAACAATTTTAAGTTCTTTAATTAAGAGATTCCTTAATTTTACATTCGTTTTTTTTTCTTTTTGTAAAACATAAATTTTCAAATGTTTTGACATCAGTTTGCTTTTCATGCAGGTTGCCATTTTTGAAGCGAAAGACTTAGCTTTAGATTATTTCATATACAGTCACAAACTTAGATCATCCCTTCCTATCCATGTTTTAAAAAGTGTTTTGAGTTTAATAGTGTAGTGTTTAATTTGGTTGATGACATTAGTATGAAAAGTTCATTATCTACAGCATCTGCTAACATTATTATGAATTACTTAAGTAAAAAAACATTAATTACATACATTCTGGATTGTCATATTATGTTAGGTATGTAGTTAATACTTTCACTGGGTTTATATATACAAAGACAGTGGATGTTAGGTATGTAGTTAATACTTTCACTGGGTTTATATATACAAAGACAGTGGATTAAGTTTAATAAAGAAGTAAAATGTTATGGTAAATTATCCTTTTTGAATGTTCTGGTGAAAAAAAAGCTTTTGATATTTTTCTAACTAATCTATTTAGAAAGAAGACTCATAAAGATCTGTATATTAAATGGAAGTCAGCTCATAATATTTTACAAAATATTTCTTTGATTAACAATTTTGTACACATTGCATCTGTGGAGTGCACTACTAAGCAAACTTTTGTTTAATACATAACTTTTTCTTTCAAAATTTGAGTTGCAGATTGATATGAACTACAGAAAAACTACTTAGCCAATTATAAAGCTGTAGAAAAAGATTTACAGGTAAACACAGTACTAACACTGTGGTACATTTCCTTACCTCAGATTTGAATCCAAAACCTGTAACATGCTCTACAAACTGAGCTAAGGCATTAACCTCAAAATGTTTCTTAGTAAGGTACTTTTTAATAACTCAAACTACCAGTTTTTTCTTGTGGTAATTTCAATTTTTTAGTATTATTTTCTTGACTTGGATTCAAACCTGAAAATGATTGGATGCCATGTGAATTCTCTACTGAGTTATAGGGGTAACTGACTAGTGTTTGCTAGTAATACATATTTTTTAAACCATTAACAACTACCTCCTTCCCCTCTCACAAACAAGGCCTTAGGCCAAATTTCATAGTCATGGGATGTCCACAAGTTTCAAGTCGTTTTTTCATACAGTAATTGAATTTATTATTCTTTCCTTGGGTTGAATTTAAACTTGAGAACCCTCAGACAGCAAGTAAATGCTCTACACCAACTGAGCTAAAGGGTTGACCAAAAGCACTTATCAGTAATGCATTTTATTTTTAACAACTACTATAACACTTCTCTGGCAAAAAAAAAAGTGTTAACTATGTCAGTGAAATTTAATAATACCTGTGAAGAACATTCATGACTTACCTTGGTAACCTTCAAGGACTCTTGCTGCTTCAGTATTGAGCCTAAAAGTGATAAAAAGTTTACATTTTTAACTGAAAGACCTTAAAAAATGTAACTGAAGTGCACTAAAACCAAACTGTATACTTTTTGATGAGCATTTAATTTAATACAAATGTAATCATCATCATCATTAAACAAAATTTGTCCAACTGTGATTAAAAGTGAGCTTAATTGGAATATAAATTTTAAATGTTTCTAATCTCAGTCATGATGATATAGAAAAAACAAAAGAAACATAATGATGTGTATATATCTTAAACAATTCTTTATTTCCTAAAATAAAACTGGAGTAATTCAAAATTGAACACCTGTAATATACGTCTGCTCTAAAATCACACCAATATACAACTCATGTACAAACTCATACACACAAATATATATAAAAAAATAAATATATACAAACCTATATATTAAATAGATACGTGTATATTCCTATATATTATGTTAAACAGATGGTATAAAAATAATTAGGTTTTAAGTATATGTTAAGCTAAAAATAAATTTGTAAATAGAACTTACTTAAGCTACTCATATAATTTTTGAACAATAATTCTAGATCTAGCATTAACAGTATATATAAGAATACTTTATCCAACATAAAGCTTTCCCTAAAAATTTTCTACATAAAAAAGAAAAATTGAAATCTAAACCAGTATTACGAGTAGGCTCCCGCGTAGGCTAGTGCCTCTCCTACCGACATCTAGGAAAAAACATCCAGGGACCTGGGTAGGAGGAAATTCACTCTAACGCTTTGGAGGAAAAGCCTCTGTCCACCACCCCAGTGACTGGAAACCAGGTGTGGTAAGAACTCCCTAGCTCCACTAGTAGAATCTGTAGGATAATGAGCATTGGGGAGTCCTGAGAAACAGTGCAATAGGTGAACCAAGTTCTCTAAATTTTTAAAAGCAAACCGACCTGGATTTATTCAATCCAATGATCAGCATGGATGGGCAGGATCCCCATAAGTTCTACTCATGATAGTCCATGAGTGGTGGTCTAACATAGTATAGTAATACCACCCAGTCAGCCTCTAGGTGGTCATATAGAACACCTCATTTCTACAGAGCCTGTTGCAACTGAGATTAAGTATATAGAATTAATAGTTGCTAGTGCAGAATTGGTTTGATAAAAGCACACCTGCCTGGGCAACATTCACCACAGAGTCCTGCAAAAATGAGGTAAAGGTCATTGAAAAGTAAAGAAGAGACAAATGTAGCAATGAAAATACTTACCCCTCTGTATAATCTAGTGGAAGTGGTTAAGACTGCAAGAGGGGGTAGTCAAAAACCCTCAGATGAAGATACTGCCAGATCATGCAAATAAAGTGAGATAAAATTATTGGGGGAGGTCTACATACCAGCCCACACAATGTCCTCCAGCAGTCAATTCAACCAGGCTGCTAAGGACATAGAAATATAACGAATCTGATTAGACGTGACTCGCAGAATTTTCCTTGCTTTCATAGAGAGACCAAAATAAGCAATATGGAACAATTTCATACCTACCTTGTCAATGTAAAGGCATTAGTGCAGGCAACAAAACTATCAAGACCCTCATTGGACATAACAAAGGATAGAAATCTGATCAGTCATAGAAGTGAGAAATACTGATCAGATGAATTGGTGAAAAGGATTTATCTTCTTCAATGGCTGACAGTGTCTTAGGGAAGAAGAACCAGTCTGAGGGCATAAATAAACTGATAAAATGTCCTGTGGACAACTGGCGCAAACCACCCCAACCAGTGATGTCTGTAGGTCAGAAGCAATGAAAAACAAACCTACAGGTAAAGGTGAGACATGACATATGAGACTAAGGTCACAAGTGGGTGTTCAGAAAGGGCATGTAATGTAACCTTAGTATACCAATTAGGTAAATGGAAGGGTCATTTGGGCAAAAGACCCAAAGGGACTTTAGGAAGTTGGAGAGTACTGGGAACTCAAAGAAATTTTGTCTTGAATATCGAACAGTAGTCAATAAGGTTGCCTTATATAGGGCAGTTATGGAAATGCAAAACCTTTGCCAAAGAGCCAGGTAAAAAAAAATGAGTTATGGTTGGCACTTCTGATCAAAGTGGGTTCAACCTTCTCTCAATACACCATTGCCAAAATGGGTGCCACTTCCATTGATAAATGTCCATTGTGAGACTAAGCAAAGCCTGAGACAGATACATGGCAACCCTAGAAATTAAACCCCAACACCGTGCAAAGGACAGCATAACCTCCATGCCTGAAGCTTCTTGATAGCCAGGTGTACCATGTCAGATCATGGCTGCATACACAGAGAAGGCCAAATAGGAAATGGAAGAGGTGGACACTCCCGAAGATACCACCAAAGCAGAAACCAGGGAGTAGCTGCCAATCTGGTGCTCTCAACAGTACCCACAATGAGTTGGATCAAATCATAGTTAGTACCATGGGTAACATAAGACATGGAGGGAAGTCCTGGAGTTCCAACCGAGAAGCAAAACCCTTGGATATGAACAGAATCTATTCTGGGTACCTATGTAACAAGAGGCTGATATCAGGGGTTGAGATCCTTGAAATATGGGCAGAACTATGATCCTCTGCATGAGCCAATGAAAGTTGAAATGCCAATGCCAACAGGGATAAATGTAGAAGCATAAAATCAAACCAATGTGCATACTAACAATGGTTCCAGCTCATCATCAATGAAGTTGGTGATCCTGAGTGTTAAAAAAACAAAACACTGGATTTTAAATTTGTATGTCCGTAGACTTACCCTTGTCCCACCAGGGCACATTGATCTATTCAGGTTAACTACAAACTCCACCATAGAACCCCTAATTTCAAGGAGTAGATGTATTATTTGAGAGTTGGAATATTCTTCCACCTGGTGGTGGTAGGCAAATCATGGAGTTTCAACAACCATGGTGGATAAGGCATAGCTGTCCCATCATGTAATGGAGTAGTAAACCTCCCTGCATGGACCACAATGTCCATGGACAGAGAGAAAATTAAATATTTTCTCCCAGACCTTTCAGTCATCAAGTAAGATACAGGCTCAAAAGCAACCGGGGAAAGACCCAAAACACACTCTTGATGGACCAACTGAAGAAAACAAATCAGAGGCAGCTTATCCCAAATTGATCTCCTTTCTTATTTATTTTAAAGACTATTCTGATAACCATTGTTTGGAACAACATTTTGTCAGGTTAAGTTTGTTTTGTTAGAACAAAACAATGTTGGGCCATCTGCTATGTCCACTATAGGGAATCAAACTCTGGACTTCTGCGTTGTAAGCCCGTAAACTTACCATTGTCCCACAGGGGGACTGAGAAACCAACAGAATAAAAGAAACTGGAGGAAAAAGCAAATCAAAATTCCTTACAGAATACCCAGGATTACCCTCAATTGCAGCCTCAGAGCCAAATATACATGTCTCCATCTCACTATGAATAAGATCACTGACAGTTTCAACTGTAACCTGCAACCATTACTAATCCCTTGGAAAAACGTTTGTATCATGTTCCATACCATTTTTGAAATGTAATCTTATTAGCAGGATGATAATATGTTGCCTGGATTTTTGAAGGCACTTATGTAGACACATAATTCATCCAGTGTGATGACATACTTGGATTTATTACAAGTCAGATATTGCTCGTACAGCTTTTGACAGTTGACCTTGTATTTAACTATGCATGGTAGTTGGGAGAAGTTTGTGAACATGGGTCATATCACTTCTACATCATTATCTTATTCTAAAGGAAACCTATTCTCTACCTGCAATGGAGCAGTGTTTCTTGGGTTGCTTCTGGTAACAATATGTTTAACTTTTTTCACTATGTCTGGTATGCAACCGTTTTTGATTTGCATGTAATAACTGTTGACAAGCAATTAGTATTATATTTAGTGTTATTTTGATTTGTAGTTTATGCATAAAAATCAATATTTAAATTAAACTAAATAAACCTAGGTTTATCATCAAAAGACTACACCTACACAATGTAATAAAAAAGAACACCAAGACCACTAGCCTGATAAGTGTTAATTTAAAGCTACACAAAGATGTTCAACATTTGAGTTGTCAGGCTTGACATATACCATGTGTTACACTGAAAAAATCATTTGAAGTTTGTCCTAAAGAACTAATACTTTGGAAAAATAAACTAAAATACACCCTTCAAAACATACCTTATGTCCTTCCATTCTGTTTATTAAGTATTAAGAAGCTTTACAAGCATACTGAATTTCATAACTTCACTAAGTAAACCACATATTTTATCACATCTAAAGACACAGTGTATATTGCAAAAAATCTTATTAGTGATGTAACTGGTGAATATTGTCACAAGGTAAACATTTTTCTAACAAAATTGTAAAGAGCTTTCAGGTCATAATTAAGATTATTTTAGTATACTAAATGTTTGATTCTGTAAGCAGGAATGAATGGCAGATGTTCAAATGCTGAAACCTTCAATGAGTCATATTTGTTTCAATACAATGATTCAAAATTTACAATATTAGTATATGCATTCTAAGTAAATCTAATATATTTCTAAATGCAAACAAATCCTGTCTATCTTAACAAGGTCCTATTTTACATAAAGAACTGTGAGCTTTAATAAAAATCAACAATGTACATATGTAAATTCCATTTCAAAGAAAAATTCAACTTACCATATTTTCACGTATGCATTTAATTGACTCAAGACTGTTATCACAATTCAAGATCAAATATCAGTAGACTATTACATGCAATATGGCATGCAAACACACACACAAAAAAAAATTGCACCTAATTATTTTACTTCCATGCACTTTCACAGTCATGCTGGCATATTTCATGCAAAAGGAGTGTTTATACATATGTATATAC